CGGCACAGCATATGACAGTGACAATAGTTTTTGCATCATAGGCGGTTATGACAACCACAGTCTCAAGAGACATGCGCAGTAGCGACTTACGCATGGCAATGAGTACATTGAAGCAGACCTGGGCTGCATCCACTATTTTCAAGCTCACTCTGTTCCGATGACAAGACGAGTTCAGGACGTGAGAAGATGGAAGTGGGCACCGTGGCTGACGAACCTAAACAGCTCGCCTTCTTGTATCACACACGACCTGACGTTTAGCTCCACACGTAAGAGGCTATAGCAAGGCAAAGAGGTCGTAGACACCGCATAGATGAGAATCCTATTAAGACCACACTAAGGAGTCGTTGTGGCCTGGCCCTCAGTAGGACCGATCTGTCTTGCTATTTGGTAATCTGCCAAATCACGACTGTTAGTGCACATCGACTGTTTCAAAGCTTATTTGGTTATTTATTGTGAGGGAACTAAGTGCCGGGTCTCTTTCCTTTTTCCCATGCAGCGGTGTCCTGTCCGAGCCTGACGAAAGTTGCCTCTGTGGTTGACATGTCGTGGCTCCCGCTCCACACCTTACGATGTGCATGTGCGGCCCAAGCAGACCCGAATGAGGCATGCTGCGAGCCAGTATGGTCCTTGTTTTTGCCTAGCACAACTGTGGCGCCAGCCGTCTGGGTGCGGTCATGGCCAGGGCAAAAAGGCAAGGACGCAAGTGTCAGTTAACATCCATGCGAATACTCTGCTAACGCGACATAAACAGCGTTGATACAAGGGACCTTTTCATAAAACGAAAACGGGACTGGTTTTGCGCTATTGCATTGTTGGCTAACAGTGTGATTAGTCACGACATTTTTTCGATGTCACTATGTGTCTGCATCATCTGCATTCATGGCTGATCCCCATAAGCCGTTATTAATAACTCTTTCATCACGACGAGCGATGACTCGAGCTGTGGTGTCCGTGTCTCTAGCCCTCCATGCTTTTGATGACGGAAAGTGTACCTTAGCGAAATGAGCAAAACCGACCCGTTTGCTCTAGTCAACTCGAATACTGTTTATTGACCTCATCGTTCTCATGATCAAATTTTCTTTTATCTGGGAGTCCTATGACACTGAATGGAGCGTTGTCTTCCTCACTAGCATGTGGGGGTTCGAACGCCGTATCTTGCTGGTCTTCGCTTGAGAATTCGCATCAATGGGCATCAAATTGAAAGCTGTCTTTATCGTAAAAACTCTTCTTTCTGACCGACAACAGTACCGACCAAAACTCTCGTCAGCATCCACTCTTAGACATCTCCGTTTGTAGGAGTTTTTTCGTTATTTGGCGACTTGTTTCATGCGTTTGGCGCTTGATCCGCCATTGTTGTCTGTAGTCACCTTCAGCTGATAATGGCAGAGGTAACGGGTGCTAACCATTACCGTCATACTTCCACCACAATATTCCAGTGGCAAAACAAGATGAAGAAGACTGCAGCGAAATTTTGTCGCAGTGAGTAACTTGACTTAGCCGCTGTATACGGATGCAACAACACGACTGTTTTCGCACTACCGTCCGGACATAACATTGCCCGGTGGGGAGACACTCCGCCTAACGCTTGTCGGCTTTTTTTCTGCAGTCAAAAGGGTGTGACCGTCGCACTCAGGACAGTCTCGTAGAGCCTCATGAACGCGGAGTACCAGGTGGCTTTAAAATGGAGTGACCACTATGTGCTTCTACACAATTGGTGCAATTTTATCTCCACAAAAGTGACTACAACAATTATTCACATTTTTACGTACTATTGTGAAATGCCCGTAACTATTATGACTTCTTAATCGCTTCTCTGCAGACCGGAGCGCACTGTTCTGGTCGGCGTTGGCGTGGACCATGAGGATTTTGTACGGTTCGCAGAGCAGTCTTTCATGCCCTGGGAAACGTCCTATGGAAAAGAAGTCTCTGACTCGGCCCTTATTGCTCCAGACCAATCCACTCCAATGTACTTTGGTGGCGAGTTGTCGGTAAGTCGACTTTACCCTCTTCTACCTGTTTATTTTTCCCAATGTGCTTTGGGCATTTTGCAAAAGTGAGTTCGGGTGTCCGATTCTGTAATATGCATATCTGGAAAATGTTTTGTACTTCGATCTTCGCTGCAAGAAGTGACACACAACACGACCCTTGTCAAAATAGATCCTACCTCACAAATCTCTTAATCTAATGGAAATGTGAATGAAGGCTTCGGACACTGCACGTGTTCTGTGCTGCGACTTTAGAAAGACGTTTGACTCTGTCTCACGCCAGCAGCTTCTCCACAAGTCATCTCGATGGGGATTAAGAGTGAACCTGCGCCGACCTGAAATTTTTGCGTGGGCAGCAACAAGGGATTACGGTGGGAGGATGTGTCGGAGCTGACCGCTGTCAAAAATAGCTACCAAACTAGTGAATGAGATTAAGTCTAACTGTCCTCAAGGTACGGGAAATTATTTGGGGTCAAAGATAACCACACTATCTTGCAAAAGAGCATAGCCTACGTAACTGGAGTTAATGGCGGTGCATGATGGTCAGAGTTTCGAAAAGCATGACATTGTATTTTGACTCTGCACAGCCGGGCGGGAGGTGAAATAGAATTTCCCGGTAGCGTCATTTGGCGTCGACGATTTGATTCTACTCAGTTCAGTCCTAGAGCAAGGTAATCTTCTGTTCACTTGCCCTTTTACTCTGGGTAAAATTGCCACGAAATGTTTTCTGTTCAGGCTTTAAGAACTCAAATGTCATGCTATCAACCATGGGTTAGACTTCCCTCTTGTTTGTCATCTTAGGTTCACCGTGACTTAGCGCAATACCACGCTCCCATGCCTGAGTACGCACATTGTGCAATCGGACTGGAGGCCTGTGGTTCGAAAGACACCCAGTTCGTTACCGCCTGTCTCCTCAACTCCCTGCTCGGTGGCGGCGGCTCCTTCTCGGCCGGTGGCCCTGGCAAGGGCATGTACTCTCGTCTCTATCTAAACGTCCTCAACCAGCAAGTTTCACCGTTTCCTCTCCATGTTGCTTTAATTAACTCTTTTCTCGGAAAACAGATATGTGAACGACAGTTTTCAGGGAATTGTCCAATCTACAGAGTTACAATTTCTTCGTCGAGTTTGCTATTTCTTGCAATTGTACTGGCAGGGTACAGGGATTTGTCCACTGGTGTGAGGCGAGTTCCAGGGACATTGATTCCGTGTTTATTGTCGTCATCATTTGACTTCGGTTTGCGCATGGCCGCTGCCTTCTCCATGCTAATAACCAGTCCACATTTTGAGCAGTCGGAGACGAAGCGATTCACATTTCGCCGCATGCCTTCCTCCGTTGTGGGCTATGACGAGCAGTCATCCGCAAACAAGAGGTCGTGGACGCTGGCCTTGGAGACTGCTGACGGTGCGTTCATGCGTCGGATATTGAACAGCTCTCCAGCAGCTCGATAATCAATAGTAAACGACAGTCGCTACTTACGGTAGTCGTCCATCAGCACGGCGGAAAGCATGAAACTAAGGAGAATGGGTGTGTGCACGGCCCTGCTTCACCCCGTTTGTTACCTCGAATAATTTTTAGACCGACCCGTTTTGCGTGACACGCAAACTTGCGTGTATCCATCCTAACATCCAAATTTCAGTCTGTTTTTCCAGAGTACACGGCGATTCACCTTGTCAAAAGCCTTAGCCGGATCCGCGAAGGTGATATAGTGGTTGGGTTCACGTTCCCTGCCACTCTTCTTGCAATGGTAGAAGGTCGCTCACCGATCGTGTTAGGGAACTCATTCGCCCAACCAGCAGCCGCACGGCGGCGCGTAATCTAGGCAGATTAGCATTACTGACAAAGGCACAACGGGACTAGTGAGTTCCGTAACACGATCGGTGAGCGCCCCTCTTCCATTGTATGTTCTCGATCGCAGCCCCGTCTCCTTTGTCTTTGTCAGTTATGTTATTCTACTCTTCTTGCAGTTGGCTGGCCGCGAAGATCATGTCTCAGAAGACGACGATGATGAGATCGCCGGAACGAGTTTTTTCGGCCTGAACTTTCGGATTCTTACTCGAACCCACTACCAGAGCCGGTCGCAGATAAGGCAGATGGAGGCACAATGAGCGCAGTATTTGTAGGGCGCAGTTACCATGTGCCCACGCGCCTACTATAATTAACGGGGGTCGTATTTGATGGTTTGTTAGCTCGCTAACAGCCCAGTCGTTAATTGCCATCATTTCGTCGCCGCTGCTGATTCTTACTCGGCCATCGGGCTGGTTGTTATTGAATCTGTTGGCTCCTCGCGCCTTCCCGTGTGGCTAATTGCTTTACCCAGGCGAGGTCTCAACACAGAATATACGGTCATGATATCACTGCGCTCGGCAATGCACTGTGGCTTAAAAGGTCTGAGAGCGTGGGCTATGTCAGTATCAGCCAACCATGGCCCTAAACTTCTACTGCGCTAACCTCCGGCATCGGAAATATGCTGCTTTGCTGACGTAGCTCCTGTGTAGTCGGTTCGTTCCTGGAGAGCAAATTGAGGATTTCTTGGTCGTTTTCATCCACTCAGTCCCGATGCAATCGGCGTCAGTGACCGACTGCTTCCGGAGCTGTTGATCTCTTTGGGGTTTGTCCATCCCATATGAACAGTGGCATTCGTTTCCAGAACTCACGTTTGTTTCAAATGAAAAGTTTCGCTATAGTTAGAATCCGATCGGTCTTCAGCCATTTCCAGGTATATAGTACTTGCTTGATGTGATCACATGTGTGCTTGCCGTTATAGTTATACCTAATACAAGTGTAATCGTGCGTGATCTGACCGGCCTGCATGATGTCCGTATTGTACCTGTCACCTGCTACGATCCGCGGTAGCGGTCTTGACAGCTCGAACCATTCTCTCCTACGGCGACCGAGACCGATTTGCTTTCGTCTCGGCCTAGAGTCGTGGACATCAAACAATCGCCTGAAAATGACATCGGCGAAGCCCTTCGCAACATTGTCGATGAGGCTTACGCCCCTATAGTTTCCGAACCCCAGTCATCAGGAAAGACCTAATCTCTTCACGTTTGCTCATTTAGCTCATGAAGGAGCCGGATCGCTAAAACGTCGAGAGGACTTGTAGATTTCAGCGGTCTCTGTTTGGCATTGGCGATTTCTCCCTTAGAGAAGGGGGTCGCATGTCACTGCCGTCTGGAGAGAAACAAAACGCCACTGCAGAGGACAGCGTGGTCGTTATGGTATGAGCATCAGGGTTGAGAATGTGCTCGCGCCAGCGAGCGACCTTGACTGAATTATCAGCAATAAATCCGCCATTCGCATCGCTAACAGAGTCACTCAGTGCAGAGGTCTTACCGTTAACTTGACGGATAATGGGGTTGGGCTTTCGAGCGTCACCAACGTCTGAGCCCTGTTCGTGGAGGTTGCCTTTTCAGCTCAATAATTCTTCCGACATCGCCGTCATTTTCCAAAGTTTCAGTCAGTTTCAGTTTACTTGAGGGAAATATAGGTGTTGAACCTTTGAACTCCCTATTTGTTACAAGGAAGCGAACTATATCAAAAATTTGAAAATGGAAACATCAAGCAGCTACAGAGTTTCTTCAGGTTGGCAAAGTTTTCGAAACCAGACAGATAAACGAATTATTCTAAGAGTTAAACACATTAACGTTACTAAATGGCTGAAGCAATCATGGGTGGGCACGGGAATATAGACCTTGCCTTGCGCCAAATTCCGGGGAGTTAGGGTTAGGGGGGGGGTTAGAATTAGGAGAGTTTGCTATTTGGTTGTAGTCGGGACACGGGAACAGGTAGCCTCGTGCAATTCGGCGCAGGGCCACCCCATGTCTGACAGAATAATCGTTGCGGGTTTTGATCGAGCCAGCGGGACAGTCAAGTACAAGATTTTTCCGCTAATTCGCCCAGTGCGACTCCTTTACGTTAGCCAAGAATTTTCTCAGCTGCCCCATAGACTGATGAATTCAATGATGCCCATCGGTTATTGGTCCTAAAACGAGGCCGGATTTCTGTGCTCATGGCCTTGGTGATGCTGGATTGTCGAAGCTTTGCGACACCAAGGCCTCTTGCACGGGATATTTTGGGTGTGGATAAGAAGTGAACTTTTAAGCTTTTTAATGCCGCCCTACGGTCGCCATGTCACAGTGCCCTCACCGGGCCTTGCGACATTTTATAGGGCAATTGACACACCATGTCTCAGCGCTTTGCACTCTGGTTGCATTTTCGCTGCTCATCTGCGACTGTCTGTTCGCCAGTCCTGAGAGCCTGCCTACTTTGTAAGTAACCTACACTGGATGTAGTTGCGCTGTCTGCCACATATGAAGCAGCCAGGCTGACAAGTAACCCGTCTTCCCGATAGTTAAAGTCTCATCTTGGAAACTGCAGAGTGATGATCCGTTCAGCAAATTCCCCCACCATGGCTTTTGTTACTCGCGCGTCTCTCTGGCCACATGTGAATGAGTACAAATCAGGCGACCGGAGAAGGTTCTGATCGCGAGGTGACTGCTGCATGAAGGCTTGCAGGAGGACAAGGCCGTTGCCGATATGGCCGCTGTTGCCGTAGCGGTATAACACTCCCTCTGTTTAACCCTCGTCATTTCTGATGATGGGTTCGGATGTGAATGCGAAACGGCCCCGCAATCGCGTTTTTCCACCTCTGACATAGTTGCGTGAATGGCGTGCAGATTTCCGTAAATTTGTTCTCAAGACGCCAGCGTCTAGTCACGTTGCCCTTAAACTTTCGTCCCGGAAGAATATTTATCCGACATCCACCTCCTCCAGTTGTCCTTTTTCGGAGAAGTCGGTGTCACTGAGATCTGCAATGTCCACTTTGCGACCTGCCATTTCCCGGCCGGCTAGAGCTGTCGGTCTCTCAGGTTAGTTGTCATTGGGCTGTCTTAAATGGAACAAACGTTCTGAACTATCAGGGTAAATGCGGTCATTCTGGCAGACTGTTGGGAGGACGGGAGGTGAGGACGGCGGTTGTTATTTATTATTGTTATTCAACCTCATTATTTGCATGCAAAAACCGTGCGCAGCTCGCCGATGACATTTAGGGCAAATTTTATAGGCTTGGTTCGCGCAAAAGGGCAAGCAGTGTCTGCCTAGTTAGAGCGGTTCGGGCATCCCGGGTACGTCCCAAAATCCACGATTTTTTTTCAGTGAGCCGCCTGTGAGGTCTCATGCCGCCCTTTCCGTAGGATTTTCTAATTTAGTAGGAGGGAGGATATTGAGAATGGGGATTAGTTCACGGCTTGCAGTGTGAAAACACAGCGGACAGCCACATCTGGCTTAGCCTGCCAATCAGCGATGCTTACGGAGGTGTGACCGCGTGCTGTGCACGGCCTCGTGGAGTCGCAGACGAGGGTTGACTGACAGAGTGGGACAGGCTGAAGTATGGGCATCCGGTTCGGCGATGCATCTGATAGGGACGGTCAGTGTACTTCATATAAGTACTTATTATGATTTTCGTCCTCTCTGATATATCGGAGCTGGGTGATGTCGCTTATGCGTGACGTTCATCGGCAGTGTATCTGCGTCAGCGTACTTTCGACAGCGCATTATCGATCATTTGCTATCCAACCGCACTAATAAACCGGAAGCGACCTTACAGCTTCAAGATGGGTTCCAAACCACTGATGTCTTGCTCACCCCCTACAGTTGTACGTATTGTATTATTCCGGGACGTATGGCGTCCGCCCCTAAGCGAGGTTTTAGTTTTAATCGGGGTTAGTGCTCGAAATTCTAGATGACGAAACAGAGATTCTCACACCTTTTCCACCGATCTCTGATTTATCGTTTCTTAAGCCCTTTTTATAATCCTTGAACTTTCTATTTCTATTCTGAACCTATTTTTGACACCCATCTGCACATTTAGGTTGCTGAACACTGCGTCCCACCCATTGAATTACCGAGTTTTTAATCTTATCATATGTTTGTGTTTCCTCTTTTAATCCACGCTCAATGTGGCCATCTGCTTGCTGACAGCGCTCATTAGCCGGGCCCCATCCTAGCCTTTTGTCTTGCCTGCTTCAGATACCATTGGGTGAATTCAGCCCAGGCGGCCAACCATGCCTACGCAGATACTGGCCTCTTCGCAATTACGGGGAGTTGTGAACCCGAAAATCTGCACCACCTTGTGAAGGTTCTAGTCAGCGAAATACGTCACACTGTTGAGGCTCCTATCAATGCCAATGAACTGCAACGGGCAAAAAATCAGCTCGAATCGATGCTGTTGATGAATCTCGAAATGCGTCCTGTAGCCTTTGAAGACATAGCACGACAAGTTCTGGCATCCGGCGAGTGGAAACCTCCGGAGTACTGGGTTGAAGAGATCAGTAAGCATAAATTAATACCTACTTTTTACAATAAAGTAGCTGACTTTGAAGATGTAATTGCGATTCTATAATAGCCCGCCTCTTACGGGCGTACTGAAATCACGCAAAGAAGCGTCAACAGCGCCACATCTATGCTTCTTAAATAATAGTTATTTGGCTTGCCTGACTTTATTTCTCATTTACACCAGTTTCGAATGACAGCTGGACCGGAGGCTTTATGGACTCAATTAGTTTCTAACAAATGGGCGTAATTATTATTTACAGACAAGGTCACGTCGGACCATCTGCAGGAACTTATGGCTCGAATGTTGAAGTCCCCGCCTACGATGGTGGGTTATGGTAACATGACGAAGTGGCCTTCTTATTCTGAAGTTACCCAGGCTCTTGGCGCCCCGCTAAGGCCTCCAAAATCCTTCACGGATCGTTTCCCTAACATCTTCAAACGGTTCGTTTGAGAGGACCCCCTCGTCCCTTCTATGTATAAAAGCCTGTATTCTTACGACTCCTCTTTTTATGCGTCCATATGCGTTTGAATTTAAGGTGTTGTGATTCTTGAAATAGACTTCTGCCTTGTACCGGACACTAACAATTCCTTTTCCACCGTTCAATTTCCTGTGTCATATTTTTCTAAGGTGGCCTGGCCACTTAATTGCGGACACTCGGCACCTATCTCATCGCGACTACATATAGTGCTACCACTACAACTGTCGTTACTCTTGTCACTGTCTTTGGCTTACGAAACGAGGAGGGCCAGGTTGCTGCTCATCAAAAGTTGAATGAATCCGCCAGAAAGCATATAGCTCGCCGGCACTCATACAGTGCCGACTAGCACACCCACACCACGTACTGGACGTCCTCTTTGATAACACAGAAGAAGTGCAAATTGTCTTCTTAGAGCAAGGGTCCCATCTACACGATTACAATATTTTTCCGAACACAAAAGTGAAATGCGTTTTGCTACCAAAAACACGATAGGTGCGTTTGTGTTAAAGTTAACGTAGGCATGTCGCCGTAATTAGTAAGCGGACCTCGACCACCGCGGCTGCTACTTTTTACTGGGCCGCTAACTGTGTGACCCAGAAAAGACGAGACAACTATTCGCACCCAGGAGACTGATAAGATCAGAGAATTGCACACATTACATCCGATTTGCGACATTGTGGGTCGGAGTTCGATTCTGTTTGCTTACTGCCTGCTAGACGCCAGATAGAAGTTCGAAGCTGTTTATCGAGGCCATCCGTCAAAAAGTCTAAAATGCGGAGCAGAAATTCGTATGTTGACCGTAGATGCACAGTTACTGCCCCAGTCAAATTATTACATTTGGTCGGACCGGAAGGTTTGACTGCATCTCCTGTCTTCCCCCTTACGGAAGTGTTAAATTTGAACCGGTTTTTGGCCATATGAGCACCAGACCCTAGATGGCACGTACCCACTGAAGAGCTAAATTTAATTCTGGTCCTTAGTTTTCTCTCCTGCTGACAACCTACAAGAAATGGGAAGAGAAGTTGCGCTTTTTTGTGTACACCCTTCTCATGTTCTTATACCGCATGCCGCAATGATTACAGAAGTTGATCGTTAAAGATGTTTGACACTGCGAGCGTGATCAGCAGGAAGAGTTAAGCCAGAACAGTAAACGCATACTGTCTTCTGCACCTGAAAGACATTGAAGATTACTTTGTCGCCGAGTGGAGCCTAGTTTGCTAGCAGTGTTGAAGGTAACGGCGGCCCGATTGCGCAGCCTGGTTCTGTTTGCACCCTGGCGCCGGCAGATTGGTTTTACACAGGACCTTGATATCCAGTGGCATAATTAATTCACGCGTGTACTGTCAAGAAGCGAAGTACCTGAAGATATTCACGTCCACACTATCGGTTATCCAACTCAGTCAGGAAAGGGTTGACACGTGAAACGAAGCGTTTCGTTGAGACGAACCAGGGTCCAATGCTTTATTTACTAAACCGCAGCCCCATAGGAGTTTGAGACGTACTGTTTAATTGAATTCTGCATTAATTTGAATCGCATCTTGTTGCGTACGCCATGAAGGCTGCAAAAAGTACTGGGCCATCTTAATACCCTTAGATATTCATGCGCAAGTGATGGTCACCAATCATTTCGAGCTCCGAGCTAAAGCTCCTGCAGTGTTCTCCTTGTCTAATCTTTGAGTAGGCTGCGTAACATCTGGATAGGATGGTAAGAGTCACCCTTATGTGACAGTATGGGGGGTCGGATTTGTGACTCAGTGAGCACCTGAACCCGGGCCTAAACCTTACTTATTTCCTCCGGGCGTTCGGAAATTGTGGACTGAAGACGCAAATTAAATCAGAAGCGGTAACCTCATTTTCCTCTTTTTGTCGTCCATAGTTTCCTGTTTGTATCCCGCGTAAGATACTGTTCCACACGCTAATCGGGCTAGCTAACGTGTGTGGTATGAAATTGAGGATCATAATAGTATCCGCCCCCATAATATCCCTCATTTATCATCATGTAGATCGTTACTCTGACTTTCGGCGCTGACTTACACTGCATACGTGTAAGATCGCTTGTTGCAGAAAATGACTTATTTGCGTGCAGCGTCTCGATACCCTATGTCACCGTCGTTTTAAAACTCGAGGCCTGTGGACTCTAGCCTGTCTTGCTAGCCGTCCTCAGTCATGGTGCTTACAATGTTAGGACTGCATTCAGGTCGTCTGCTCCGTTTGATGACACAGCGTGACGAGGCCATCAAGTTTACTTTACACAAAATTAATTGCACAGTCTGCCGCCACCTCAATCTTTTCAGCGAGATACCCTCAAGACCATCGGATAAGACATTAACCGCGTATCTACGCTGTTTGAGGAAATTTAGTAGTAAATGAAAGGTGGGGAGGGAAACGAATGGAATACATTTTGTTTCGTAAAACCAATGTTCCTGAACGCTGAAGGAACACGAAAAGGACTCACTCAGTTCTCAGTTCCTTTCATCACTCGTCCTCAAGAACTGAGGTAAGGACTTGGCATATTTTTTCATGTTATTTGTAGGGCTTCCATAACAACACAGGTTAGACACAATAGACAATTAAAATGAATGCATGAGCTAGGGCCGGAAGTGTCACAACTGCAAATTTTAAGGCGTAGCCTCAGCCTATGGGGTTGTTGCACAGTTTTACTCGAAAAAAGCTGCTCTTCACCCCGCATTCCGCATCCAATCTGGTTGGCAAGGGGAAAAAAGAGGCAGAGGGCAGGCTGATCATTGAAAGATCCAGGCAGACTTCACAACCAAGCGCCTTGATTCTATCTGCATGAATGAACTGGGTGTGATGACATTCAGAACGGCAGTGTCGCCACATGATATCGTTGAATGAATTGATTCGCTATTTTTTGTTTCGGAGAGCCCATCGGCTATTAAGTCTTAAAAACGTTCAAACGTGATAAACACACGACTCACTCTGAAGACTGTGTTGCTTTCCACACTTATCAAGCCGTCTGAGCATTATCTATCGTCATACTTGCCTCATAAGATTAGCGAGGATCTGAAATGTCCAGATATTTATTAACAAATTCAGCAGATCCATCGTAAACCAGGTGCCTAGACTCACTAGTCCAATGACCGTTTTAGCAGGCGAGCCTGGTTTGTGGGTTTGTCCTCCTCTGACGAGTAGACGACGACAAGGCAGCAAAACGCAGTCTGTTGTGGGGGGGTGGTTGTCGCCTGCTGTCTGTCGCGCCGACGCTCGGATCACTCGTCCATCCCTCTCGCCTACGCCTCACGCCAAAAAGACCACTGCTCCACTTGGCCTGATTTACGCCGCTCGCGCAACCTGTCTAGCTGTCTCCGATCTAGGTGATCCTACTTGCAGCTCGTCGGGAGGTCGGATGGGTGGTGGTGGGTTGTTTTCCAACCCCTGGGCGTCACTTATCTGCTGTCTTTCAGCCCTCCACTGGAGTTGGCATTGCCCCCGTCACGGCTCATACAATTCTACAGCAGTGAAGGAAAGTAGGCAGACGACACGCGTCCTTGTCGAGTTACTTTGTACGCATGCATTTATTTAATCAAAGTGAGAGGGCGTTCCGTCAGGCTTCAGGAGTGAATCAACTATCGAGGGAGTGTGTTTTGAGGGAATTCAGTGTTCGAATAAGTCGGACAGGCTTCATATTATGGCAAATGCGCATACAGTAGATGTGCTAACTCATTAAATGTTAGCCGGAATTCAGAAATGCACTTTCAACTCGAAAAGTAGGGTTGTATTATGAATCACCTTGCAACCTAGTTCCGAGATAATTCAGCTAATTCGGGACGTCGGCTTTGAGTAAACTTTTTCTGGCCGCCTACAGAAACTACGCTGTGGACGGTGACTACTGAATTAGCGTGAATTCGGTGCCCCTATAAATTTAAATTTATTCCATAGAAGGCATGCATAAACATATTCATTCTTCTACTCATTTGGGAGAAAATCGCGTCTCCTTCTTGAATGAAGGGTGCAATTCGGTTTTAAAAGACTTCCCATTCCTGAATAATTTTGAAATCGACCTGCCGTTACATTTGCATTTAGGGTTTCCAAACTACAAGCCGTACATTTTCCGTGAAGGGAAAATCATACATTTCTTTGCGTTATTGAAAGTTGACCGTGTGGAGTTCATAAAATTTAACAGTGGACTTCGACTTTGTTGTAAACTTTACAAGCAACATTCCTAAATGTAGAGGCGCGATATTCTATGAGCGGGTATTCGAGGTCGTAAAAAGTGTCATTATTAGAAAGCATTTTAAAACCGAATTACGCCCTTTTCTTCAAGTATAAAATTTGAAGAAGACACAATCTCCTCCCAAATGAGTAGAAGAATGAATATGTTTATGCATGTCTTCCATGAAATATTTTTTAATTTATAGGGTCACTAAGAATAAATTATAAAAATTCCCGTTACTTAAGTAGTCACTCTTTACAGTGTCGTTTTTGCAGGCGGCCGGAAAGAAGTTTGTTCAAAAGCCGACATCCCGAAGTAGCCGAATTGTCTTGCGGATTACGTTGCAAAGCGATTCATGTTACAATCCTACTTCAGTAATCTTTTCGAGTTGAAAATGCACTTCAGAATTCCGGTCAACATTTCATGAGTACTGTACCACTGGTTGCGAAGAGGTTTTTCATGGTAACACGTCATTATCCGACTGAAAATTCTACCGCGAGGGCAAGACCGTCAGGACAAGAGGCTTGATGGCCTATCAGTATTGATCTCGCCTTTACGTTTATTTTGCAAGACCAAAAGCTCATTTTGGTTTCAGGGTGGCTTGGAAGTGGAAGATCATAATCGTAAAGACGATGAGGGAGTGAGTGTTCTTCAGTCCCCGATCGTAGAACAGACGCAGAATGGAACAGTGAAAGTATTGCCGGTTTCGGCATCGATGACTCAATTCTTCAGGCCCCTCAATGCCAAAGGGTTGTTCGTCACGGCCGAGCCTGACCTTTACAACCCCCCCCCCGAACA